CACAACAGCCTCCAAGATCTGATTCTCTTGTGGATCATCCCCAAGTAGGTTGCCCCTCCCCCGCTCTTTTGGATCGATATTCTCTGCATACATCTAGTGTCAAGTTAGCTAACTATGAGATAGCGGCTTGTGGCTCATCTTCCCAACCTACATGATCTACGTCATGGGAAGCGAGATCGTAGAAGGCCTGGCGGGTGCGTCGACTGGTGCGGCGATCAAGTCCGAGTAGATGGCCAATCGCGGTTCTACGTGGGGAGCAAGTCGGAGAGTGTACGCCAAACTGAGCGTGTGAGTCGGTTGCGTGGTAATGATGAGATGACACGATGACACGATCCTAGTTGCAATAACGCGTCTACGAGTCCTAGCACAAGTTCTAAGATTTTAATACCCCTGAATAAATAAGCTGCACCATGCTACTGTATATTTTAATACTCCATAACTCGACCTAGACTCGGTCCCTTTTCTTCCAACAAACCATATGTACGGTTTTTTAAACGCCCATATACGTCGCCCTCGTAAAACATAAATTACTTTAGGTACCCAAGCACCAAACCAAACGCCTGACGTAAAGAGCGAGCCCCTACTCTGGCGGGTATCATCCATCCCTCCATCCCAAAACCCATCTTCACAAACAGCTCCTAAGAACACCCCCGTCCCCCGGGCGGCGCCTTAACCAACCGCCTCCCCTCCACCCTCAGCGGGCCCGGCGTCACACTCAGCTCCAGCTTCGTCAGCCCGCCCAGATCGTTGTACTGCTCCCACTCGGGGTGCACGTCGTCGCCCTCGCCCGCCATCCAGCTCGTGGCCTTGACCTCCATCACGGCCTTGACGTAGTCCCACGACGTCGGCGCCTGCGGGGCCGGCATCTCGAGGGGCGCGGCCGCGCTGCTGACTTTGCGGATTGCGGAGGGGTCTTGGCTTGTGGGTGTTGAGGTGTTGAGGTTGGTGTGGGAGTGGGAGTGCCGGCATGAGTTGGAGTTAGAGTGACTGTGGCTATCGATGATGCTCTTGGACCGCCGCCGGATCAGCCCCAGCCCACAGCCCGGCTCGGACGCACGCGCGCGCTCGTCGTGCGGCCTGCGCCGGAACCCGATGCCGGTGCACGTAGGCGCAGCGCGCCTGGCAGGATCGCGAGAATCCGTTCGGCGCGCCTTGCGCAGACGTGCCGGTCCCGGCGGTAATACTGATGTCGGCGCCTCCGTCGCGCTCCCGCAGACAGACGTATCGGGCGTCCTCCCCACGCTGCTGTCGTGCGACGACTTCCTTAGGTCGGAGTTGCTGGAGTAGCGCGACGAGGACGTGGACGCGCTCGCGCACGCGCACGGCGGGTCCGCCTCCTCGGCGATCGTGGACCGGCGCCGAGGCGCCGGGATGTTGACGAGCGAGGCCTTGATGTCGTTCGTGCCGTTGCCGTAGCCCTGGACGACGATCTCGTGGTACGGCGTGGCGGCGGCGGCGGCGGCGGCGGCGCGGAAGGGCGTGGGCGTGCGGTCGGGCTGCGGCTTAGTCAGCTTCGCCGACGGGCGGCGCGTCGTCAGGCCGCGGGACAGGCTGCTGGTCAGGCTCCCCGTCCAGCTGCCGGCCCTGCGCAGCCGCGAGACGCCGTCTTTGGCCTCGCCGTCGGTGCTGCTGCCGCGGTGGGTGAGCGCGAAGTAGTCGATGTCCGGCTTGATCTCGAAGCTTCGCTCGCGCGGGGATGGAGACCTTGTGGCGGGTTCCTGGCTCGGCGAGGGGAAAGCGCCGCGGGCGAGATGGTGCGTCTGTCTTCGTACTAGCTTGTGCACGGGTCGCTCTTCGTCCCACGGGGGCAGGTCGGCAGGGGAGATGCAGAGATGATACGGGGCGCCGGCGGCATCGCGGACTTCAGGTGGGATATCCGTTGCCTGACGGAGGGCCTGGTAGGTCGCATAGATCAAGATCCAACGAACCTTGCGACTATCCATCGGTCCCAGGTTTTCCAACTTGTCCGCTTTCGTAGGCGAATAAGCTAGTCCTTCTTCGAATTGGCGATATATCCTCACTAGTCTGTTTGTCATGAGGTCGGCACTCTGGTTCGTAGCCTTCAGCAAGGCAGCGTGTGTGTTTTCTCTCCATTTTCGATCCGCCTTCATTGGCTTGCCTAACCATGATGTTCTTTTAGTGTTTTCCAGTGAGACCTTTGGGAGAAGCGGAAGCGGGTGGAGTAGAGTCTTGAACTCGTGCCTCTTATCGAAAGACTGGATGCATTGCCATGTGCAGATACCCCCTTCAGCTAAGAACGGGCTGCTGTGGGTAGTGTCGAACGTCTCATCGACTAAATGTTGGTAAAGTGCTTCGAAGTCCGCCCTCATCTCTTGGAGGACCTCTATTTCGAACATTGTCGTCCGAGAGTCAACAGATGGCGGTGGGTAAGATCCAAATTTGGCGACGTAGAAATCGTGTAATAGAGTTCGAAACCGTTCAAGATGTGCTCGAGCGCCAGCATATAAACCAAGATGAGCCTCGGATAACTCATATTGGAGAAAAGTCCCAACCATATTTGCGCTCTGGCCCAACCTAAGATTCATCTCAACCCGAGCGCAGCGAATGAGCTTTCGAGTTCCGGGAGATACGAGCTAACTGCTGTTAACAAGCTTCTAGACGCGGAGGGGACATGTACACAAACCTGATATTCAGGGGAGGTAGGTAGTTGCCCACTCATACCACAGCAGTGTGCGAAAGCGCTGATATAAAGGTCTCTTAGCTGGAAAGTTTCTGCAAAATGAAGTATAGCTAAAGAGTGAGTTGGATTGTTTTTTAAGTTGAGATAGCCCTCCTCGTCTAGATAACTCATCAAGTCTGCAACGTTATCCACGTCCCTAGTTCGAAACTCATACATACTATGCATGAGGGTGACTAAAGCAGCTCCTAAATGCTCTCCGACCACAGATCTGCGAAACACGAAAGCGACAAAATTGCGAGTGGCTAGATGGTATTTGTATGACATCTGTTTGTCCGATCGAGGAGGCGACGGGATAAAAAGTTCGATGCGACTCCGCCTTGCGAGATCGCTATTGTCGCTTTGAGTCCAGCCACTTGACTTAATAATATTTTGAGCCATAAACCTATCGATGAACGGCTCGCATTTTGCCTCTAGAAGTCCGGAGAAGGGTACTTTAAAGGTCGGGCCTCGACGGCTTTGTCCTTGGCTGTAGAGATGGATGTAGCAATTACCATCTCGATACCACAACTCGGGATCCTATATTTGGTTAAACCTGTGAGCTTATAGCACATCTAACTAAGAGGTAATTCGAGAACGTACCCTTTTCAAGTTATCCCAGATGTTACTGGACATCGAAGCGCCGTCCCATCTCCTAACACTATACTTGCGAGATGGAAGGATTTCCATCATCTTGTCAGATTTCTTAGTCTTCCATCCTCGTAATCGATTTGACACGCCGTTATACAGGGATAGCTCCCGCGTAAGAGGTCCATCCGTTTGGCGTGTTGAACGCATTGAGGAAGAATGAGGACGACTATTTGTATCGGCCATCATGGAGAGAACCACATATATATCTTGGATGTTTAATCTCCAACGTCCCACGGCCCTCCCAAGGATCCTGATAGATCCTGGCTTGAGTTGCTTTCTACCGAAACGTTTTCGAACGGGTCATAGCTAGTAATCTTGGGACTTTACCATGACGTCGAATACTTGAATCGGAGCGAACATAATGAAGTGTATGTATGAGGACGTCAGGCATTTCGAACACCGTGAACTATGTTCAGGCCAAAGGGTAGTTTTTGGCTATATATTTTCGATTTCCACGCAAGCCTAGGTATTCCTACCCCCTTTTCTATATTTTGCTTATTTCGGGACCTAAAATGGCTGCATGTTGAGCTAGCGCAAACCATGATGTTACGCGGAACACGCTATCGCCGTGGGAGGCGTAATCCATTGACGAGCCGTTGTAAGCCACCGTCCGCACCAAACGGTCGGGTACAATTCAAGGCGGCTCGAGAGTCCTTCTCTCTCTACCTAATTGGATTAGGTTATGGTAAAAAGGACATCATGCCTTAGTTATTGAATGAAAAGCTGCTAATAGTTCGTGAATGTACGTAGTCGCCGTTGATATCTAGATTAAATGAACATATAGAGATGCTGAACCTCTCGGCGAACGGGCGAATCTTGTCCTTGTGGCGAGGAGGCTGGGGACTATAAGGAGGACTAGACTCTATATCACAACCTTTAGTTGATGTATGCAGTCCTCGGCACTCTATTGAAGATCTGAATTATCTTCGATTTAATTCTCAACCTTCTCCGCATCTTATCAGAGTCAGCGACCGGCGGTCAACTTAGCAGTTCGGTTTCAACTTTGCTTAAGTATTTAGCAACCGGCTCTTCAATGGATTATAAGACGAAGATGAATCATGGGAATCGTCATGGAACTCATGAGTTTGGCCGTGTATCTCATACTAGAATTCCCTTGGCGGAACATAGGGTAAGGTGACTGACGACCAAGCTTAGGGATACCAGATGGAGTAAACCATAAGTAGTAAGAGGTTAGTTTCTCGTAGGATCTTTGGTTGAGGATGTATGATAGATACATTGTCCCATGCACATTGTGAGACCACTGCATGAAACTATCGCGGAATGGTTTCCCGCCGACGTGGCCGCCTATCAGCTATGACAATTAGTTGGTAAGCGATCTTACTTTTTATTATTCCTCCCGGAATGACGGTATAAATCGCAAGCAAAGTAGATCAATAATCGATGGCGAGCTGAGATAGATATTGTCATTGGTTGTGTAGGACTCAATAAATAAGGAGGAACATGATATTGGATGGAACTGGGCTCAATTCCGTTTATATATATGGATGGGTTTGGGTTACACCATAATGCTAGCCGAAAAGCCTCCCCGAACACTCCTAACTTAAAAATGCAGTAAAGATCATTTCTAACGGCGAATATAAATGAAATCATTATAAGGTCGTTTAAAAAAAAAAAAGAACATCTACTGAGAAACAGCATAAAAAGTGAAAGACGACACCTGTGTGATTCGAACACACGCCCCCGAAGGGAATGCCTACACTACGCTAAATCCTTAGCTAATAGCAGGGCATCGCGTTAACCACTCCGCCAAAGTGCCTTGGTTATGGTCGAACTGCTAGTCGATGCTAAAATCCTTCGAAAGCTGGCCTATAGTCTTTGTCCAAAGGGATGCAATCTTATCGATAGAGCTCGAACGCTTCGGTTAGACCCCGGAGATCAGTACAAGCATAAAAGCCCCTTTTGTTACATGATAATATTTAGATACGGCAACAAAGAAGCTCAATGGACCAAGATATATTTACACAAAAGTCCAACACCCGTTTGACGCGCCGCAGTGTGAGACAATCGACCTTACACGACGACCACAGCTTTTGACAGCTTTAGTTTTGGTTCGGGAAGCTTATGTGTGTATTTCACGGCTGAAATATGCCGCCTTGAGAGGTCTAGATGGCTTCGTTCGCTCCCTACACGTACATACAATGTCCCTGCTACGATTCGGCGACCCCGACCCGTCTGGTAGACGAGCCGCCCTCCCCTACTTCCCAGGACGAGCCTGACGAAGATGACGATCGGACCTTTGACCCGCGTGCGCCGCGCTCGAACTATAGCTTGTACCCTATAGAGTACTTGCTATATTGTGATGTGTGCTCTCAGATCCGCTGTCCTCGCTGCGTCTCTGAGGAGCTCGCCACTATTTACTGCCCAAACTGCCTTTTCGAGGTTGGAAGTAGCAGTCTTAAGACCGAAGGGAACAGGTACGTGTCTATATACTCCGATCTCCAATCTTAAGCTACAAATGGCACTAACATCATTTCATGTAGATGCACACGCAGTTGTTTCCAATGCCCGATATGCATCGGGCCCCTCGCCGTCCAATCCCTCGAATCCGCGCCCGAGCCCTCGCTCCTGACGGCCGAGGGCCAGAGCCCGGTGCCCCCCTCCGGGCCTTGGATCCTCGTGTGCTCGTACTGCAACTGGAACTCGTCGGAGATCGGCGTCAAGTTCGACAAGCCGCAGGGCATCTTCTCGCAGCTGTCCAAACTCCGGCACGGGGACGACCACGCCAAGCACCCCATCCACGCGGCCGGCGACGTGACGCCGAAGAAGGGCGACGACACGGCTAAGGCCCGCTTCGCCGCCATGAAGGCCTTCTACGGCGCGCAGAACAACCTGAACTCGTCGACCGGCGGCGGCGGCGCGCTCGCCGGCATCGCCGACTACGGCTTCAACTCGCCGGGCGCCCTCTCGCGCATCATGAACCTGTACTCGGGCAACGCCGGCAGCGGCACCAGCAGCACGCTCAAGCCCAAGCCCAAGGCCAGCGTGATGCGGGAGGCCGACAGCGCGAACGAGGGGTTCCGCGCCGCGGACCTGGACGAGAGCACCGCGCTCTCGCAGATCCGGCGCGAGGGCTGGGCCGGCACCGTCACGGGCGAGGAGGCGAAGTCGCAGGTGGAAGAGGGGGCGCGCTTCTCCACCGACCTGTGGCCGATCCCGTACCTGCTGCGCACGAAGCGGTCGAAGCGGTGCCCCATGTGCCGGCACATCATCAGCAAGCCGGAGTCCAAGGTCAGCAACACGCGGTGGCGGATCCGGCTCGTGGCCAACAACAACATCCCGTCCATCTCCATCAAGCCGCTCTCGCCCTCGCCCCTCACCGCCACCGCCACCCCCGGTCTGCTCAAGCCGCTGCAGCCCGCGCAGTTCCTGCTCATGTTCAAGAACCCGATCTTCGACGAGATCAAGGTGACGCTCGCGACGCCGGCCGTGACGCCGGGCCGCTTCGCGTCCAAGGTCACGGTGCTGTGCCCGCAGTTCACGATCGACGCGAACACGGACACCGACATGTACCTGGACGACGTGCTAAAGGACGGGGAGAAGGAGAGCCGGCGGCGGCGCGGCGACGAGGGCACGACGCATCAGGCGGAGGCGGGCAAGATATGGGAGCGGGGACGCAACTGGGTTAGTATCGTGGTTGAGGTCGTCCCCGCGTCCCTTAAGATAGAAGACCCCCCCGCGTCGCTCAGAAAAGAGGGCGATCCAGAACCGGATTTAAGCCCTCTGAAGGAGGACGAGGATGTATTGGAGATACCCATGTTTGTGCGGTTAGAGTGGGAGGGTGATGTGTCTCAGGACCAAGTGGGCATGGGTATGGGCAATACGGCGGGTAAGGAAAAGGACACGAGAGAGAAGAGAGAATTGGCGTACTGGTGCGCCATCGGTATTGGTCGGATCAGTCAGGAATAGGCAATTAGAGAATCTACGATACCCCGAAATACAAGCATCATGAAAAAGGCACAGGAAGTATCAAAATAATGAATTAGTTCGTAATTGTCATCAGAGAAAACCGGCTTGTCAATTGTTTCACAAGCTATCTAGACGCCGTGCCAGTAACTTTTTGGCCCACCGTATTGCCACCATGCAGTCATAATTCCACGAAATGCGGTGCCAATGCCAAACCCCTAGTCCCAGACCAGTCCAGATGAATGACCGTTCAACTCTAGTACTCAGCGGCACCAGCCTGAGGGAACTCGAAGGTAACGGTTCGGCCCGTCAGACGGCGGTAGACCTCGGAGTAGGTGTCCAGTCGGTAGTCGACGCCACCACGCTCCTTCTCGTCGAGGATGACCTTGAGGAGCTTGCTGTTGTCCTCCTTGGTTCGCAGACGCTTGCCAACGATCTCGACGGGGAAGACGAGGTCGCTCAGGATGGCATCGTGAACAGCAGTCAGAGTTCGCGAACGGGGGCGCTTCTGCTTGAGGGTGTTGCGCGAGCGAGCAGAACGCTTGGGTCGGGGAAGGATACGGCGCGAGGCTAGGATCAAGACGTGACGGTCGGAGAACTTCTTCTCAAGCTCACGGGTGAGTCTATTAAAATGATACACTATTAGTGATTATTCCTAGGTGATAGTTGATAGGTGATTGGTGATGATGATAGTATGGTATATAACTTACCGCTGCTGGACTCGGTGGAAGCCCTGTAGAGAAGGAACGGGGACAAAGATGACAATTGCCTTCTTGCCGTGGCCAACTTCGATCTAATCAAGACCCAAAAGTTAGCCGGCGAGCTCCAGGACACATTAAATATTGTGATCCTTGGACCGCTTCCCGTCCTATTCCACTGATATTGATATTGCTATTAATATTCCTATGCCATTTATATCGAACTCATTTACGATTTGCGACAACCGTAGACAAGTCGTTTGTAGCAAAGAATTGCACGATCGCGATCGAGGAATAGGGTCACTTGGAAAGCGGTCCCAGGTATACAATCGGAATGGGATTGATTCATTTGCTTCATACCTCTCGGGCAGAGACGAACTGTAGGGGTCGGAGAGCAGCCTTGAGGTCGGCAGTGTTCGTCTCGAGGTCGTAAAGAGCACCAGCGATGTTGGTCTCCAGCTCGGAAGGGTTCTGGCGCGAGGAGCTGTTAGGCGCGATCTTGTTAAGTGAGGCACTCATGATGGCGGCTTTTGTTGTCGGTGGAAGGGGAACAAAGTCGCAAAAGAGTGGGTGACGAAAAATATTGTTTAAGGTTGGTTAAAATTGAAGTCGCGGAATTTCATAAGTTAGAAGTGAAAATTGGAGAAAATTGATTTGGTTGTGGGCGGTCTAAGCTCGGGCCACCCAGGGCTTAGAACAAGCGATTTCTCAAAATCGGAACTAGCTGAGGCTTGACTCGACTAGGGCGCTATGTGGCTGTGTGGATATGTGGCTAAGGATGGCTAGAGAAAATATAAGTACCTAGGTACCTACATATCTTTGTTTGTCAGGCTGATCCCTAACTCCATCTCCTCTCCTTGTTCACTTCAATTTACTCCCAACATGATATATCACCCAATTAACTCTCCTTACATCGCTTCACATGTACTACATGTATGTAGAACATGTTTTCAACGGGAATTTTATGCTTTCTAAATAGCAATTGATAGCACCTCAATTGTCCTCATGCCCATTACCCATCTTGTTCAGGTAGTCTTATAGATTACCTCATCTTTGAAGGATTCCCACCAATAGAAACCTCCATACCAAGTACGTAATCTTTCAGGACTTGACATCTCAGAGGCTGCCAGCCTTGCAATTCTCCTACCGCCTCAGCTGCTTCTCGTGTAATAAGGATCTGCGGTAATGGATGCATTCATGGAAACGTTCCATGCATATTGGATGGGTTGATGGGGGTCAAATACAAGACCGAGCTCGCTTAAACCAGAGCCTCGTCGAAATTCCGTGTCTCAATTTCAAGCCTTTACCTTAAGTCTCTAGTTTTCATCCTAGCTGCCCAGTTGGAGTTTTAATTCGTAATCGATTCGTGCTTATTTTCTTGCAGGTTCAAGCAATTCAAGGTAATCGGCGATGGCTTTACGAGGCTTCATGAGGCTTTATATCATATTGCCTTCGAACGAACTGGTCTAGTCTCAGTCGGCAAGGGAGTGCAAGTTTAGCTGCAAGACGGCTTACATATATGGAGTAGTATATGTAGTGTAGAGATCAGTCTCGGACTTGACCCAGCCTTTTGGTTAAACCCAATTATTTTAACATAACAGAGACTGCGCCTCCGCAGCTGGCGGACTTTCGACCAATTAGACGCAAGTGATATTTCTAAATTAGGATATCGATGCATCACTCGATGAACAAACCAACCCAACGTTTGCTTATTCTGATCGGAATCACTGCCACGGCAGCTAGTGGAGGCTCTATTATGTTGGTCCCGTGTACGGTCTGATCGCTCCATGCCCACATGGATTCTGAAGGCTACGCTAATCCTTCGTCGGTCTTGTTTGCCAGCAACGGATTGGATCTACGTATCTCTTGGCCAAGCCCGAAAGTGATGAAATGCTTCTTGGGACCTTAAAGGCTGTTGGTTGCTGCTGCAACGACCCCGCGAGGGATACTTCTTTCACTCCCTTATTAACTTTTACTATCATCTGTGAAGTTATTGTACATGTAATTCTTAATCTAACAACTAATCCATAATCTATCCTCGCGATGTCAATTACTCGTGACGATCTCGGGCTATCGTGCCCATCCAAGGGCAAGTTCTACGTCTGCGACAAGGCAACGATCCGTTTCATTGGCTGTTGCACCGTCGACCCGTGTG